GCTATGTCAATTTTTGTTACAAAACAACCTTATCACCTCCAAAGTACTCTCCCTCTTAATACATCTGTCAAATCTGCGAGTCCATTCTAGGAAACATTTTCAAACTCATTTGTTTGGATGGCTGGCAGCACCTCCCTTGTTTTTTTTCTCTTCACTTCTTCTGTGTCATCAAATCACTATCTTTTCACATCCCTCTGCATTCACAGAAACAAAAAAGTTGTATGGAGTGAGGTCAGGTGAGTAAGGTTAAAGTTCGTGTGGCCAGAGAGCCATGCTGGGTTGTTTTTTTGCCCAAAACTGGTGCACTGAGATGCCTGCATGAGCATGTACATTGTTGTGATGGCAAAACCAGTCCCCCCAGGCCTTTTTTGTTGCATGCTGTTACGCAATCTTTTCAGAACCTCTAAATAAAAAGCTTGATTGACAGTCTGACCTGGTGGAACGAACTCCAAATGCACTACTAATTGACATGCCCATCCATTCAGGAAGTTGACATGTCCAGAATGAGGTTTGTCATCAACTGACATTTCACCTTTTTGGAAACAAGAACAGCACTGTACACTTGAGTTTTTCCCTTATAGCTGTTTCTTGTAAGCGATGTTCAACATAATAGCAGTTTCTGTGGGCAGTTTCTGTGGCATTTTCCTGAGCAGGAAATACATTTCAGAGCCGTTCTCTTTAATCAGCCATCACAAAAAATGAGATTCAAGCGAAATTGCCCTTACTGAAAAAATTCACTGTGACCAGAGAGAACCTTCCCAGGTGATGCCACTGGGTGCACTAACTCAGAGCCACTTGCTCAATGCTCGCCTAGTGGGGGGAAAATGGGTACTATGAAAGCTCTGCTCTGCCCAGCACAATGCCAGTTTTTTTGTGGGGTACCTCCTTTTAATGTGTTCCATAGTAAGCCTTTGTCATTCTCATTTTCAGTAATAGAAATATTAATACTATCTAACATTTATTAAGGATAATTTTAAAGCCACCAAACTTCTTGCCATCAAGTCTGTCCTAACTCATAGCAACCCTATAGAACAGAGTAGACCTGCTCCTATGGGTTTCTGAGACTTAACTCTTTATGGGGGCAAACAGCCTCATCTTTCTCCTGTGGAGTGGCTGGTGGGTTTGAACTTAGCAGCCCAACATGTAACCTATTATGCCACCAGGGGTTCTCTGTTTGTGGAATACTTAAACCATAGATTGTATACTCTATGTAGATGCAGATACAATATTAAGCACTGTGCTTTATGTCTGTTCAGTTCACTGGCCAACCTTTCTTACATCACCTACTTCACAATTTGTCCTTCAGTGCATCTCATGCAAATCCGCTCAAAGTTCAAGTTTAGCTTGGAGCTCCCTGTGTCCTTTCTTTAAGAGCAATGCCTCCTTTCTTCCTTATTGATGGATGGGCCCTGCCTCTACATAAGCAGGAATTCTGCTTTCCAAGAGAGGCAAGCCTGGCTGGCTGGTGCAGAAACTTGGCTCAGGGTAACTTGGGACTTTGTAAGTAGAGAGAAAGGCCAACCTTTAAGCAGAGGCTCGAAACAAAAGATGGAGAAGCAGGCTGGACATCCAGCCCTATGCCTGCAGTGGGAACCAACCCAAACCCTTGGTTGTCGATTCCATCCTGTGGATTCGGTGCCATGCGCTGCAGAGCAGAGCTGCTCCGTTGGGTTTTCTTGGCTGCCATCTTTTACAGAAGCAGATCTTCAGTGCTGCGGTGTGGATTTGAACTGCTAACCTTGAGATTAGTAACCCAGCCCAATCAAGTGCCACCCAGGGACCTCCAGAGCACAGGTTAAACTCTAGGGAGCCAGGAGGTGGTGAGGAGGAGGTCGGTCAAGATGGAGGCTTTGAACAGAATTCCTTTCCAACAGTGAGGGTCAGAATTGCACCCAAAGGAGTGTGGGGGTGGCCAGCCCCCCAAACTAATCACAGGTTCAGTAAGCACAATGGTACGGTTGAGATATATAACGATTATAACAACGTCATAGAGAGTAAGAGCGATAGGAGAGAGAATAAAAGAAAGGAGTCAGATACATTTTATGGTAGCAGGCTCACCTCAGTTCCTCTTGGTGGTACAGGGCAGTAGAGAGAGAGATTTATTGCTAACCAAGACAATATCTTTTGG